GTCTTTGCAAGGCAGGTACTCTGGGTAATTGCTGCCTCTTGAGTTCAGTGCAAATAAGCTAACCAAACCAGGAAGTAACAGGACCAGTTGTCTAATTGACAGCCAGGGAAGGGTAACACATGTAATTTATAAATGTGCCAAATTCTATTGAAATCTGCATTTTTTGTAAAAATAAAAAATATGACACACTCTTTATTAATAAAGTCCTGGCCACAGCAAGCTAAAATACTTCAGGTATGTGGAGTGTACCTTTTAAATGTAACATGATGGGGGTCAATTTTAGGAGCCTTGATTTGAAGAAACAATGGGGGGATGGGATACAAAGCAGCAGTGAAACAGCATCCCAAATGACACTGGTGATATACAACTTGAGTTTGTGTTCTCCATTCCACATATGTATGTATGTCTCTAGATTGTACACTTGTTTGAGTAAGGTTCTTATCAACGTATTGTTTCTGTAACGTTTTTTAATTGTCTCATTTATTGTCAAATTTCCCCCTTTTATAATATTGTAAAGCACTGCGGAATAGGTTTGCACTATATAAATCCAAATAATAACAATGGCTGCATGTCTATATGACTGTGAATGTGTCTGTCTTCGTGTGACAATGTGTTTGTAATATTGCAAATCCTGAAGTGCATGCCTTTGTGTGTGAGTGCAGTGTCTGTTTATGCTTGTGAGTGTTTGGTGATTGGTTTGTATATATTAGTAGAGGGGTGTAATATGCAATGTGTGTGACTGTAAAAAAACACGTCATGGTAATGGCAGTGTGCATGAGTGTGTTATGGAACTCCACATTAATTGTTATGAATTTCAGTGTATTATAAAACACTGGGGTAATATGCAGTGTGCTTGGGTGTTACACTATTACTTTACAACAGAAAGCCAAAGTGTTTTATTGCAGCAGAGCTCTGTAAAATACATATATGTCAAACATTAGGTATATACCTGGAAAGTGATAGGTTCTGGGGGTGACATACTGTGCACCCAGCGCTACTAGCCCTTACTGCCTCCCGGACAGGGCTACTTTACCGTTTACTGACCTAAAGTAATAACACAAAATGAAAGAGTGCACAATTAAAACAGCATTACCCTCCTGTAGCACAATGGATCAAAAAATAGCATCAAAAATAGCATAGTATGACTGTATATAAATATATGAAAGTGAGAACACATGGTAATCAACTCACATTCTTCTGAGCCACAATATTACACTCACATT